TCAAGTATAATATATCTCCGGCTGAGAATTCGGAATTCCGTTTAATAAAAAGATCATCGGAAAAAAATCTGGACACGATTTTGTGCCCTGATTAGAAGAAGTATATACATTTTTTTATTACGAATTTATATTTAAATTACTAATTTATCATTATTACATTTCTTATGCGGTTGACTATATTATGCGTCACATTTGAGTCATTGATCGACGGGGGTATTTGAGCGCAAAATTTTTTGGACCTTATTTGTAATAATTTTCAAAAAATTGGGCCTCTATTTGTAATTATTTTCATTTTGGGCCCTTATTTGTAATTTCCCCTTTTTATTAATTATTTGTCGATCAATCATTGGATGCGACAAATAAGTATATACTATATTCTTTTATATTAAATATTATTTGCCACATTCAAGTCCAAATTCTACAAATTTTAAAACCGTGCTCAACAGCACAGGTATTTGCTAGTCATTAAAACTTTAAAATTAACCACATGTAAAGTATGATAATATACTGTATGATGTAAATGTGACAAATTAAATAATAAATTAAAAAGACTTTTTTTTAAAAAAAAAATACAAACCCACGTGATCAGTTTTGATTGGCTGATCACAGAGTGCATGGCCGTGCAGGTGCAGGTGCGTGAAAAACTTAAACTAGGGCTCTTACCCAGGTCGGGTAACCCGGCGGGTCACGGGTCAAACGGGTCAGGCCCAAATTGATAAATCATTTCTTAAGTTACTTATTAAAATTGATATAATTGTTGTAAACTTTCTGGGTAAACAAACATGCATTCACATGTACGACAATAAGAAAGTTATTTTAAAAAGGGATGATATTGTGTATAACTGATATAATATGGATCAACCCGATATTATTGACATTGTATAACCTGACATAATATGTCATATTACGTGTATTACGTGGTTGACATTTGTTTTTGTTTAGGAAATTAATAGATTTATTTTTATTTTTTTACCAAATAAAAAAAAATCGTACGATTTACTCTTATCAATATCCAGTTTAACTTTATTATGTTGAAATTAAAAATTTATTATCTTGCTAAAGTACAAAACATGTAAATCACGAAAATTTCATTTTTATTCTTTTGCCATAATAGAATCTATTTGAGGAGCACCACAGCAAAGGGGGCTGTGTAAAGATTCTATAATAATGATATACTTCAAAAATTCAGTTCATATAAAAGACATCCAAAATAGTAAACCAACAGGGTACTAGACCCGTGTGCAGTTCTCAGAATCATCTGTAATTCTTTTCAAACATGTTACAAATGCAAAGTGTGTATGTAGTTCAAAATTTTCCCTTATATTCCACAAATTCTCAATCATGTACTATAGGTTTAAAATTGGTGGAATGTAACAGACCCAGGTCTTTTGCATGGCCATTTGCAGTATTTTCTCGTTTATATTAGAACCAAAGATTTTGAATTTTCAGATTAGATAAGTAGTTATTGCAGAATCTTTGCACAAAACTGAGTGTCCTAATGCTACCTTTTGCTATAAGTTCCCAATTTGTTCTTTTTGTGGATATTCTGTTAAGATAAGCCAAAGATCTAAATTTAGATTTTATGGGATTTTGAAGAGAAATTTTTTGGTTTGCTTTCGACAAAGATCTAAATTTAGGTTTCAATTTCTAATCTCGAACAAAGCATGTTCTAATACATTATCGTTTTATCTTATCGGTCTAATTTTGTTCAAATGATGTCGATATCTATTATCGTTATTGATTTTCACCTTGAAATCGCTGTTTCTAAATAATCTGCTCAGATTTATATAAAGCGAGTGAATTTTAGGATCTGAATTTCTAACATTTTTACATATCTTTACAATACCTGTTATAAAATTGCCAAATAAAATCATGGTTTCAGTCCTTGATCAAATAAAACAATTTACCACAATCGTCGGCGACTCTGGTGATTTCATGTGTACGTATTATCAATAACTTTAACCATATTTGAATTAATCCTTTTCGTTTAACAAAAATATTGTGAATTTTTTAAAAATAATACAGCGATGAAAAAATTTGGTCCCCATGAAGCGACCACAAATCCGTCGTTGGTTTTAGAAGCAACTAAAAAACCTCATTATGATTATTTAATTATTTCGGCTATTGAATATGTGAAGAGTAAAGAAATGTATTGATTATTTATAAATATATATATTTTTTCATATGTCATTATGATGTAAACTAACCTTTTCGACATTAGTCCCATGGAGAAAATGACTGAATTGGCTGCGGATAAACTAGTAACTTTATTTCTAATTTAACACACTTACTAAAATTTATTACTGTAAATTCAATTCATTACTTTATTTATAGTTGGTGAACTTTGATGCAGAAATTCTCAAATTTATTCCAGGTCGTGTGTCAGTGGAGGTAGATGCAAAACTTTCTTTTGACACCGATGCAACAATCATCAAGGCCAGGCATCTTATTTCACTTTTCAAGGAAATTGGTATTGATAAGTCACGAGTAATGATAAAGAT